TGTTTGTTTTGTTTTCTGAGAAATATATAAAGCGGAATTGATGCTTTTACAAATAGGTTTATTAGTCATGGACAAAGGAGTTGAACTGCTTTCAGGCCGCTCAATGATCACAAGTTAAAATCTGAAACCTTAATTTTAAGTTGATAATAACATTTACTTTTATTTTTCATTTCGATTATTATTATTTATCATTTTAACTATCAAATGCATGTACTGTACAAAATACAAAGTCGTTGTCGCTCTCATATAAAATCTTTTATTTTATTGATTAATATTGTATTTTTGACACGTTATTATACGTTATTTATTCCAATGATAAAGTGAAAATGTAAAACAGACCTCACACTACACACCTTCTAGACGAAAAAAACTATCATTATAGCAGTTTTATTGTGTATAATTAACATTTTCAAATTTTATTTAATTTTTAAATTATTCATTAATTTTATAAATTTCCTGTTTTAAAGATAAACGATTTTATGAAGAGATTTGGAAAGATTCCTCTCGGAATATCTATTGGCGGATTCTTCTACATTAAACGGGACTTCTTGATAAGGGTATGTTCTGGATTATTTTAAGTATGTATAAATACAGCATCATTGGTTTAATACGTAAAATACCGCTATTTGCAGGTGATAAATGCCATCTATTCGATCTTCTCTTCGTGCATTCAAGTCAGTGGAATTTTGAAAACGGAATCGAAGTGTACGGTCAAACAGGAAAACGATACACATCTTGTTTAAGTGTACTTTGTATGCCAATATGANAAGAATATGAATTTAAGGAACTGCTTTATAGGAAGTCTTGCAAGTTTGCACATTACCTAAGAAAACAATTTTCTTTGAAACGAGGTATTCGGATTACGTCAGGTGTTCGGAAGCGGATAAATCGACCTTCTTATATCGACAACTCTGATTCCTGCATACGTACTCAGTCATTAACTTTTTTACTTGGCGAAGATCCATTGCCGTGACTCCTGGCATGCCTGCAGTAAAACTTTTCTAATAAGTAGACATTTACAGCTTTTCCAATGGTATACAGTTTTAAACATATTCATATTAGAAATCAATTGTAAGCACACAACACTTTAAAATCTAAAATTTACATGTTATTTACTGTACATGAATTTGTTATAAATTACTGTAAAAACGTATTGCATATAGATTTAAACTTTGTTTAAAATATTAGTATTTTTAACAATGGTATCAAACACAAGCTATTTTGTATTTGTTTTCAGAATGAAAGTTTGCAACTTAATAAACCATTGTAAGTGTTTTCGTTGACTGCGAGTTACCATTAAATTTAAGTATAATATAAATGATAATCTATTCGAGAGTACCCTTTGAAAAAGTCTTGGGGTATTTGAAATGCTTGGATTCGTTTCGGTATTCGAAATCCGTAAGCTAATAATTTTGAATTGTTATCAAATATGAAACATTCCAAAGGCATGTTTCATACTTGATGATGGTAATTAACTCTACTATTGTATTTGAAATATTAGTATTAATAGTTTTAAACTGACTTCTATTTAAAACCTGGATAAATTAAATCGAAAATAGATATACATTCGATTTATCCTGTAATGTAAAATTATCATGTAATTAATTTTTTTTATAAACAAAATACACTTTTTATTCCTGTATACATGATATAAAATTATCAACAACCCCGGGTCCCACATCAAATCCTTATCCTTATCGTAAAGGCGTACTTCCGGGAACTCAATTTCTGTACAAAATTCCGTCTTTGAACTCCTAAACGGCAGAATCCAGAATAATCCTAAAATGGAAATATTATAATTTTTGATCCATTTCATTGTCTCCGATAAGTTTTGTTTAATAATAAAGGTTAAAACAATTGTTGGAATGATCATATTTAATGAACATCCACTTGGCCAGTGGTAACCAGAATCATCTGAGATTATTGATTAGGAGAATAAAATGACTTTGTTATTGCATATCTACCAAACAACGTACACAATTTTACGTTTGCATTGTACATGAATAAAACTATTTGGTTTGATGAGAAAATTGGACCGTATTTAGTTGTTACTAACAAGAAGAAAATCCGGTAAACTCCAAGTATGCAGCACGTTGCCGAGGCGCGAACTCACGACCAGAGTTCAGTGGTTTTATACACTCGGCCACTGATGGGCGAATGAAAGTATTTTAACACATTGTAAGTGGTTGGTCAGGAATGAAATTAGTAAGTACGATGATTAATTATTTACGAATATTTATTTTACTCTTGAGTACAGATTTTCAGAATTTAAATACAAGGACTTTTACATTGAATTATCTCACAGAAGGTTCAACTGTAAATAGCATGTGTACAAGTTAACTCATTCGCTTCACTGAGAATTTATAAGTATTTTACAATATAATAGAATTATAATTTAATTTAGAATATATTAACTTACGGGAATATTTATTTTATAACTGTCACAAATTCGTTGTGCAAGTTTAAAGATGCCATTAAGTGCGCATTGCATCGTATTTTTCGCAACAAATTCGTAATTTTTCGAATGTCGTATCGTCATGGCGTTTACATAAAACACTAAGTTTCACATCTCTGAATGTTTTCGGCATCATCCAGTTAGTTTGCTCTTCTTTCCAAGTAGCATCCATGTTATATTTAGAAAAGAAGTAGACACGACTAACTGGATTATCTTCACCCTTGCCCCAATCGATCGAAATTATCTAAAACACAGAAAATAATGTTTAATACATAATTATTGTCAAAAGTTTTCATTATTTAAACTGTAAATATTGGTAAAACAAAAAACGTTGGGAATTCCAGGAATGCAACGTACAACGATATTGTAATTGAAATACCTGTATTTAATGATGTTTAAAGAACAACTTAGTAGTCGAAATATAATGAAAATTAATTGGTGACATTTCAGGACACGCATTAGACATTTGCCTAAAGTGCAAATTAGTACAGAAATTCAGCACTATGGCACTATTGGGTATTTGAGTCATAAAGTATATTTTGTCGAGAACACATTATAAATTTAGCAGTCTTAAAAGACTGCATAAATCTGCCTGTTAGAAATATCACAGAAAATCAATTACAGTTGGCCTTAATTACCTTCAAAACTTGCACCTAAAGAATAAAAACCGCATTGAACTTTTTATTGCTAAAATATTTGTGTCATGTGAATGTCTTCTAGAAATAAAGCTTGTTGCTTACAGCATCATAAATGCAATAGTGGAGAATTTTGCTATTAATTTTATTATTATTTTTGGAAATGTCTTCTATATCTTGAAATCGTGCCAGATTTCGTTGCATTTGAGTAAAAAATCTTTCCACCAGACAGTGTTGAATAAAGATATTGATACACAGTAAGCGAAAAAGTTCAGAAAAATTATAATACTAAACAGGAGTACCTTTGTAAGTCTAGATAAACGGGAATTATATCGATCTATCTTCATTTTTTTAAAAGGAAATAATTGTGCTGAGTAAGGAGAGTCGAACTGAAGTTAGTTTGATGTTGTGTACTCGCAGTCAATATGTCGTGGAAAATTAACAGTTTACATCCACACTTTCAATCATACACAACAATCTTAACGCTGCCTGTTAAACTCTTCGGCGACTTTACGCTGATTGTATGAAGATCGCCACCATCAAAATAACTTGAATTCGTTTCTACATATTTAGCGCGGTGTTTTACTGTAAAAGCGTACGCAAATATCAACATAACGTCTATAGTTTTACACTTAATACCTTGTCCAGTATATTACTAAAGTATGTAAAATGGATATCATTAACTGTATTTTTTGAATTTAGTTTGTCATTATACAATGTTTCACTTAAGCATCTGTCCAGAGCAAAAACAATTCTTTTTAGTATTTGTTACGTTAGGTTGTTGACTGCAAATTACACATACATACGGGATGTTACGTTGTCATTACATGCACCCACTTCTCTGATATCTGTAAACATACCGCACAGCGATTTGAGTAGAGGTTCATTACGACGTTGATTACTCTAAATATTATTTTGTGGGTCAGCTAAAAAAATTGTTACATGCCTAGCCATCATGATTCTTATGCATCCGGTCGCCATCAAGGTTACTGTTGATGGCGACCGGATGCATAAGAAAGACTTATGATACAGCGATACCAGAAATGTCGTGTTTGATTTTTAACGATGTTCAAGTGACGGCCTGAATATACATTAAAAATAATACAAATTTCATATTTTCGTATATATTACAGTGTAATTTTAATTGCATATTTTTTAACAGTAGTATTATTTACCTGAATCTTAAAATCTTCTTCGCGTAATTCAAAATCAGTTCCATATTTTTTATAAAAGTCTCTTTTTTCATCGGGAGATAATTCTTGCGCACATTTCATAATTGCTGCTTTTATAGTTTTCTGAAATGAAAAAAACGTGTACATGAAATATGTGTGTGACTATTAAAGTGTTCTCGTATTAGTTTATTTTTGTACTGAAAGGCATTAAATGAAGTTATAGTTTTCCAACTTTCTTCCGATTTTTTAACTTTTTCTGCCCAGTGGACACTTACAGGGTCTTTCTATTTATACCAATTTTCGATCGAGTGGTTAGAGATGAGAATAAATGTATTCAGGACCTACGAAAATCTCACGAAGAATTGCTTGCCCAAATTCATCTTAGATCCCCACAACACTTTGATCGCCTTGGCCATTCAAGCGGCACTTGTCATGATTATTGATAATCACAACATGTGCCTCTTAGATCAGAGTGATGGGATACGGTATGGCAGTACGAGGGTAATCTACCGAGGGTGGATATGCCTCGCTAGAGGTTATTTTCTGAAAAAATTATCCCTATTTAGGCGTTAGATACGAGAAGAAAACCCCGAAAACTATATGAACTATAGTAATTTTTTAAAATACCTTATCGGGCTTTTCAGCAACGGACCAATGAGAAACCGTCTGATATATTTTAGAATTTTGAAAGCGTCTCTCTACTATATCCAGTATATTTCGAACTTTCTCTATTTTTGAGTACTTCAGAGAATCGTAAACAGCGTTGTCAGTCATCATGCAGAAGTTTCTCATTGTCAATTCAATAACTTCTTCCTCTCTGTTCACTGCATTAGTCCAATTGTAGAACTGGAAATTTTCACTACAGTGGAAATAAATTAAGAATATAGAATAATTATTATTTCAAAACACAAAGAAATAAAACCAGCTTACCCGTTAGGCGCTAAAACTTTTCCATCCGCTTCCAATAAAGCATCGAAAATACTGAAATATTATAAAATGGCTGTGTTATTTCGGTTATTCTACACAATTTATCAATATTAGAAAAAGCATACATTCTTTCTATTCTTCTGTTCATGCGATGTTGGTAAGCAGCGTGATGCAATTCACTTCTTGTTAGAAAATTCTTGTAAACAGTACTTACAACCTTTAAGAAAATGCATGTTACGATATTTTCTTATTAAAATCTTTTTATATTTATAATTATTATAAAACGTTTAATTTTAAAGGTAGGGTTAAGTTTTATAGAAAAAAAGATGTAAATTCTAATAAGGAGTTAAAGCCTACTCGAGATAGGATATACGACGCCCTTTATCTCTCCATCTTCTCGATCTTTAACCATGAAAATTTAAGAGCATCAACCCTCCTTATACACAAATATACCTTTAAAATTTCGACAAAAAGCACGAGAGTTATTATTATTTTTAAGAATTTCCACCTTATGGGCCTCTTAAAGCAAACCCATTATGGGTTCGGCCAGGACCACAAGGGGCGACCCGGTGGTGAGGGATGGGGCCCGACATGTCCGAACGGATCACCC